TGGACTCTGGATTGGGGCTTCTGCTCCAAAGGGTTTGTGTCCTTGGCAAGAAAGGAATGTTCTCCCTCCTCTAGGACCCTAGGGTGTGACTCGATTCTCAACGCCACTCTCATCCCTTATGCTCTGAACCATCCCAGAGCTAGTATAGTGCTGGCGCAAAGCTGTGACCTCAGTGTTTAGGGGGTTAAAGCTAGCAGATTGCAAGCCTGATCTACATAGCAAGTTCCTTTTCAGCCAGAGCTACAGTAATCCTGTCCCAGATTTGAGAGAGAGAGAGAGAATCAGCAAAGACGTCCAATAATAACCTCAGGATCCCACAGTGCATTTGCATTCCCACACGCACAGCCCTGTTTGTACGCCACATCTATCTACTCCCTTCACAACCCTTAGTAGCTGTGATTCCTCCATCCCTGTCCTTCTGCCCACCTCCATGGAAACAGACTGAAGGGCCTCCAGTGGCATGCCCACAGTAAGCTTGCATTTATCCACCAGACACCAATGGGACCCTGTCAAGTGCCACTGACAAAGTGGCAAGATGTAGCCCCATTTCCATCCTGCTTGGTTACCGTGAAGTAGGGGGAGAAAAGACTTTGGTCCTACAACCCTGATTCTTCTTGAAACTGTAACTGCACTGCTGGAAGAATAGGCAACATTAGCAAGGCATTCTGGGCCCCCAGCCCTGTGGCCAGGAAGAGTATGCAGAGGTCAAGGTCTGCAGGTGAGAGGACTCGGGTACAGCAGAGAGAAAAGGCCAATTCAGAAAGATGAAGGGACTGAGCATCTCAGCTTCATCCTGAGCAATAAATAGATCTGAGAGGATCTGAATCAGAGGCACTTCTGGGACAGATTAGGCAAGACTGCCAGGAAGCCCCAGGGGAAAGAGACAGGGAGGTAGAGGATGGCAGGAAGACCATCTGCAGGGCCTGGGGAAGGGCAGAGCTGGGTGTCTCTGGAAAGCTAGAGATGGAAGTTAGGATTAGGGGGAGGCCAGGCCTATGGGGATGCCCCAGAAGAGCCCCAGTTAGGGGCCTGGGGCTTGAGGGAGGGCTGGGAAGGAAGCATACTGGCCAGTAGTAAGGACTTGGAATCTGGAGTGAGTGGTGCCCATGTCTTTCTGCAAAACCAAGGGACACCTGCCCTTGAGCATGCCACTGGAAGAGAGCACAAGGACCAGGGTACCCCCACACCTGAGCCTGCATCCTCCACTGCTGCCCAACCTGGAGCACAGGGTGGGGGTCTGAGTAGAAAGAGGGCTCCTCTTGGGAGTTCTGTGTGCTAGCAGGACTCCATGCAGACCCAGGAAGAGCCTAAGACCCCTGACTTCTCCAGTCCCTCCCCCTCTCTCCTCCCTCATGTGTGCGCATGCTCAGCAGCTGCTGGATCCCTGCTTCTGCATGTGCCAGTTTGCCCTGTCCCAAACTGCTCCTAAGAACCCCTGCTCTGCATGTCCGGCCGAGCCCACATGTTATGGCCCGCCCCACTGAAGGGATGGCTTGTTCTCTGGAGGGTTGAGGGAAAGGGTCGAAATACTTCTTGGTTAGTGGTTCCATTCCCAGTGGAGCTGGGTAGCCAGGCAGGACCAGGCATCAGGTCAGCGGGGCATGGTGGGTGACTCTTAGCTAGGTCTGCAGGATTATATCCTTGAACAGGCTCACAATGGTTACGCCCAACAGTGTCCTATTGTAGGAGCCCAAGGCTTCCCCATCCCAGAGGCCTCTTACCAGCCTCAGAAATTCTTCAAACTCAGTCACTGCCTCTCAGCTTCCAAGCCAGAGCTAGCTCAAGGCATGCTTCCAGTAAAGGGATGCCTCCAAGATGTAGGTTAAACATACAATTCACTGCCCAAAGACAAAGCATAGTGATGCCGCTATAATGCCCAGCACTTGGGAGTCTGAGACAAGAGGAGGGCCTCAAATCCAACACTAGACTGTTGCAATAAATAAATGATTCATAGTGCAAATGGGGACATTCAAAAGGCCAGAAGGATGCTGTTGTCAAAGCCACTTATATAAGCACCTTTTGTCATTAGGCCTCACTCAGTCTTGTCTTGTGACCTATATCTAGGACTCCTACAAATCCTTAGACTGGGGCACCAGGAAACCCCCTTCTAGCCAGATACCTCTTGCTCTCCTGCCTCATGTTTGCTAGTAGTGACCGCATGGTCCCCAGGCAGAAAATTTAAATGCTTTGTGGGCCAATCAGAGAAATTAGGAAACTGGAGAGCATGTAGCCAGACTCCAGGGGACAGCGATGAGAGGCCTGGGGGAACCAAAAAGCTAGATTGGTGGGCAAAATCTGATTTTTAAAATTAACAACTTTTTTTTTATTTAAAAAAAAAAAGCTCAGGCCCAACAAATTACTTTCATTGTCTATTTGGTGGGATTCCCACCCTTCACCAGCCTCCCCTGAATCCCCCTGGAGAATCTTGAGTTTTGCCCAGTTTCCAACCAGCCTTTCCCCACTTAACAGCCTGGGTGGGAAGCCTCAGAGGCAGCGACTAGACCTGGGTTTGGAGGACAGGAAGGGTCCACCTAGGGAAGTCCTGGGGCCGAGGATAGCTTCATCTCCCTACCCCAGCACTGGCCCCTTGGTGGGCCCTGGGCTGATCAGAGCTCGCTCGCCCCGGGAGCTGAGACCTTCCTGCTTCCCGCAGGCCTGGTCCCGAGACACCACCCAGCCCCAGAAGCTGAGAAGCCATCCCTGAGAGGGGGGAAAAGGGCCCCTAATGCATCTTCTCCGACTCAGCGGGCAGCGAGGACTCACCCTGCAGCCGAACAGCCCCAGCTCCCTCCCGTCCTCCCCATTCCCGCTCGCCAAGGGGGTAAGAAAAGATGCCCTTCCGCTTCTCCCCATTGGCTCCAGCCACTGCTCCTCTGGGCCGTGGGGTGAGGTCAGGGCGGGCAGGAGCGGGTGGGCAGCTCGGCAGGGCAGGGCAGGGCAGGGTGCCCGGTGAGTCCCAGGACAGATGCATTTCTGGCCCGAGCGTAACATGCCCTCGGAACCGCACTTGCCCCCTAGGCCTGTGTATGCTGATGTCCTTCCCCTACCCCGCCCGCCCGTGTCTGTGCTTCGTACTCTTGTGCTGCTGGGTTCTGCAACTTGACCCGCTTGTGTCCTATCGTCTCAGTGCATTTGGTTGTTGGGAGAAATAAAAACCATCTCGATTTTTTTCCTGATTGGATGATTCTGATGTATTATTTTCTTTTCCGTGCTCTTTTGTTATTTCCTCTCCAACCCTGTTCCTTTCTCCTCCCCCCCCCCCCCCCCCCCCCCCCCCCCCCCCCCCCTCCCCCCCCCCCCCCCCACCTTTTCCCCACTTGTGAGTGGGCCTGGCTGGGTGGGCTTAAGCTTTTGAGTTGATATCTCGTACTTCCCTGCCCCATTTTTTTTTAAGTTCCCCTCTGCTCTATTGCATTAACAGTGCTTTCTCTCCTGTCCCTCCTTATTTGGGGTGTGGCTTGCTTTTTTTCCTATTGGTTGGCTTCATGTAGGGGCCTCTGTGAGTGTTGACCTCTCTAAGTTCCGCAGGGTGGGTGGATGGTCACCTTTCTTCCTCATCTCCTCAGAATAACTTCATCAACCTGAGCTTTCTCCGCCTCTTCCGTGCCGCCCGACTCATCAAACTCCTCCGGCAGGGTTACACCATCCGCATTCTCCTCTGGACCTTTGTGCAGTCCTTCAAGGTGAGCCGAAGCCACTGTTCCTGCTGCTGGTCCAGACCAGAGCAGACCCCAGCTCTGGGCGGAATGAGGAAAGCAGGCTGAAAGTGGTTAATGCACGACCCTGGCTAACGTCTGTGCCCAGTGTCTGCAGAACTCTGAGGGCCTCGTCCCAGACTCCAGCAGCCTGGGGCACATGATCGCTTTACCCAGTGCGAGCAGTTCTGGGCAAGCTGTCTGGCATCCTTCCTCACTGCCTTCCTTCCCTCCAGGCCCTACCATATGTCTGTCTGCTGATCGCCATGCTCTTCTTCATCTACGCCATCATCGGGATGCAGGTGATCCTGCACCCTTGGGGTACCAGGGCTGCGGGAGGGGAGCCGGCCTCAGAGGGAGCTAGGGCCCATGTGGCTGCCCCAGTCGTCACCCTCCAACTCTCCAGGTGTTTGGCAACATCGGTATTGATGGAGAAGATGAGGACAGCGACGAGGACGAGTTCCAAATCACTGAGCACAATAACTTCCGGACCTTCTTCCAGGCGCTCATGCTTCTCTTCCGGTGAGGGGGCGTGGCCGTGTCTGTTTGGGTTGGGTTTGAACCTACCTTTATCTTGTGTGTTGTTCATTACTCTTCTGGCTGAGGCCACGGTCTCGCTGACTCTTAAGTCTGCCCGGCTCTCTTCCTCTTCCTACTAGCACTGTCGGGACAAAGATCCTGGCAGGGTAGAGCATAAAAGTAATCTTCCTGCTGCTATCTAGTTGAATCCTCCTGACCAGCTTTTTGGGGGGCAGGGTAGTACTTGTGAGACCCAAAGAACAACCCGTGCCCCACAATAGAACATGCTAGCAAAACAAGGCAATTCTTTTTGTGAAAAGCATGCAACAAGACCCAACTGGTCTAGCAAGCACATCAGGCCCCAGGTAGCTTATGTCTTTTGTCCCTAACATAGGTAGTGCCTGTACTCATCCCATTGGTGGCCACTCTGCTTCACAAGCTGACATGAGTAGTCAGCCGATGCAAAGGGGACAACTTGAGCCCTGGGCTGGCCTAACTACCTGTAATAGAAAAAATAATGTTTCTCACAATTTCCCCCTTTGTCACACTCCTCCCCCACAAACTTAGCCAGCATATATTGACCATTTGGATTCTAGTAACAGTAAATACTGTTATAGTAAGTGATGGCCTAAGCATGGTTCAAGCCCACCTTCCTACAGAAAGCTCCCTTCACCAATTGATTGACTTGGCCCAGCTAGACTGTGAGATTTTCACCCTAGATAGAAAGCATTCTCTTGACCAGGAGTTTTGTCTTAACAGACATTTACTGCTTTGTCTTAGTTAGGGTTTCTATTGCTGTGATGAAACACCATGACCAAAGCAAACTGTGGAGGAAAGGGTTTATTTGGCTACACTTCCACATCATAGTCCATTATTGAAGGAAGTCAAGGCAAGATTCTGGAGGCAGGAGCTGATGCAGAGGCCATGGAGGGGAGCTGCTTACTGGCTTCCTTCCCATGGCTTGCTTGGCCTGCTTTCTTACAGAACCAGGACCACCAGCCCAGGGGTGGCCCCATCCACAATAGGCTGGATCCTCCCCCATCAATCACAAATTAAGAGAAGGCCTTGCAAGCGGGGTGGTGGTGTACACCTTTAATCCCAGCACTAGGGAGGCAGAGGCAGGCAGATCTCTGTGAGTTTGAGACCAGCCTGGTCTAAAGAACTAGTTACAGGACAGCCTCCAAAGCTACAGAGAAACCCTGTCTTGAATCCCTCCCCCCCAAAAAAGAAAAGGACTTGCAGCTGGATCTCATGGAGGCATTTTTTCAGTGGAGGTTCCCTCCTTTCAGATTGCTGGAGTATCTGTCAGGTTGACATAAGATCGGCCAGCACAGCATATCTGGTCTCTGACAAGGACAGGGCTGCTAAAAAGCACAAGGATATTTTTGGGTTTTAGCCAAGAATCTAAACTCCCTAGACCATTTGTACCTCCTGTTTTTACCATCACCTGAAGAGATAACCCTTAATGCTGTTGTGAATTTGTGGCAACAATCACTCTGGCTTCTGCCAGCTGAATTGGAGTAGCAAGTGTGGTAGTTTTGGGTTACCCCTCCCGAGAGCATGTCTGACCTCAGCTGTCAGATGTGGGAGGAAAGGAAGCCTTGACAGATCCATGGGAAGAGATGTGAGGGACCTCCCTGGGAGGGAACCAGGAGAGCCAGAAGACATGTCCAGATTATATGCCTTGGGATCTTTGGATGACTTAAAAGAGCATCCATCTGCCAAGCTCCTCCTCAATTTTCCTTCAGCCTTCATGGCCTGACTCACAGTGATGACCTTAGGATCTATTTTCAGGCAATATGATAGCTGTTGGGGAGGTTAGAGTCAGTGTGAGGTCCCTCCCAGGTGTCTGTAGAGAGAGAAAGAGAATTTTGAACTTTTAGTTTGTTTTGTTTTTTGCTTTTGTTTTTGTTTTTCAAGACAGGGTTTCTCTGTGTAGCTTTTGGAGCCTATCCTGGCACTCGCGCTGGAGACCAGGCTGGCCTCGAACTCATAGAGATCTGCCTGCCTCTGCCTCCCGAGTGCTGGGATTAAAGGCATGCGCCACCAATGCCCGGCTGGGTCCTAAGGTTCTAATGACACTTCACCGAGGTTCACCCTGCAGACTGAAGAGTTTACAGGGCTTACTCACAGGGCATGGCTGAGGGTTCTAAAGGAGGGTGGGTGACCTGAAGCCACTGCTATACAGGTGCAGCCCTCTCTCCCTAGTCTCCCCCCAAGACCTAAGGCCAAGTGTCCTTAGGGCAGAACTACACCCAGCTGGCTGGGGGAGGGGCTGGATGCTCAGTGAGGGTCCAGTGACCCCTCAAATGCCCTCCTATGAAGGAGCATCAATAGTCAACAGTTCCAGCTGTGATCATCTTTACCTCTGCGTATGTATGCACACCACATGCATGCAAGAGTCCTCAGAAGTCAGAAGGTGTCAGGGCCCTCACAACTGGAGTCACTGTCAACTGCCATGTGGGTACTGGGAACAAATGCTGGTGTCCTACAAGAGAAGCAATCCCCCATGGTTTTGTTTGTTTGTGTTTGTTTTGTTTTTTAGTTATTTTTTGATATTATAACATCACATTATTTCCCCCTTCCCTTTCCTCCCTCCAAACCTCCCCCATACCCTTCCATACCCTCTTCTAAATGTATGGCCTCAGTGGAAGGCTGGTGGCGCACGCCTTTAACCCCAGCACTTGGGATGCAGAGGCAGATAGATCTCTGTGAGTTTGAGGCCAGCCTGATCTACATAGTGAGTAGGACATCCAAGACAGCCAGAGATGTTACTCCAGTCTCGAAAAACTAAAAGAAAAAAAAAAGTATGGCCTCTTTTTTTATTAATTGTTCTCTACATACATGTATTCCTAGATCTGTAGGTACAGCCTGCTCAGTCTGTATAGTGTTACTTGAATGTCTTCAGGCTGACCATTTGGTATTGCTCAACCACTTGCTGTGCTCTTCCCTGGGGAAGACGGTTTCTCCTGCTCTCAGCACTCCTTAGTGGCCTGCAGTTCTTTGTGCAGGGTAGAAGCCTCGTGGACTCCCTCCCACCTGGCCTGTGCCATCCCCAGAAGCCTGTCTGTTGTGGTTGTCCATCTCTGTGATGCTCTTCCTTGAGCAGGCACAGCTGGTCTTATGAAGGTGGCAGTGTGTGCCTTAGAGGAGCATGCCAAACACCACCACCTTCAAAGAAGAAAGCTCACTGTTAACTATACACATAGGATAATGTAAAAATAATAATAATAACATTACGGGCCTAGTGGTGCCCACCTTTAATCCCAACACTCAGGAGGCAGAGGCAGGTAGATCTCTGTGAGTTCAAGGCCAGCCAAGTTTATATAGCAAATTCTCAGACATTGAGGTCAACATAGTGAGAAAAATAGTCTTGAAAAACATAACATTACTGTGTAGACATTGATAACAGGATTTATAAGCTCCCAGGCAACTCTGACAGAAAACACAAGACACTCAGGTATTGTTTTATTAGGAGAATGACCTAACAGAGCCAAGCTTGAGGCTTTGAATGATGAGACAGTAAAACATCATCAAACTGATGTTTGTAAGTCACTTAGCTAAGAAGGCCTTAGGCAAAAATGACACTGAAACTATTGTGAAGTTTGATTTTGGTTTTGATTTTTAGGCAACAGGTCCTCTCTATCCTGTGTGGTTTGGTTATTTCCCACTTCTGTTCTTTTCTTAACCCCCACCCCTAAGGAGGAGATGTCGCAAATCTAGGTTGAGAATTCCTTGGAGCCCCTTAGGGTACAAGGCCTTGCTCACTCTCACAACCTCAAGTGTCCTGACCACCAGCTGTAGTGTGAGGCTTTCCTGGGCCCTTCCCTGCATTGCTGAGGAACTCTCCTCAGAGCCTTTCCAGCCCCTTTTATGTGAGGCCCTGGACTTGCCACAACATGGCAGGGAACAACTTCCAGGGGAGGAAGTCTGAATACCTACCCCCAGATGGGCTTGAAATTCAAGACAAGCCCCCAAATTGTTGTTATTGTTGTTGTTGTTGTTGTTGTTGTTGTTGTTGTTGTTGTTGTTTAGTTTTTCGAGACAGGGTTTCTCTGTGTAGCTTTGGAGCCTATCCTGGCACTCGCTCTGGAGACCAAGCCGGCCTCAAACTCACAGAGATCCAACTGCCTCTGCCTCCAGAGTGCTGGGGATTAAAGGCTTGCACCACCAATGCCTGGCTCCCCAAATTGTTAGAAACAAAGAATAACCTCTATGTTCCATAAAGGGACACACCAACAAAACAATTCTTTTTGTAAAATGTACAGACCAAAACCCAAACCAGCCAGCAAGCACACATGACTAAGATGGCTTCTGCCTTTGTCCCTGACGTAGGTGGTGAGTGCATTTCATCCCATTGGTGAGAGCTCAGCTTCACAATCTAGCATGGTTGGCTAATTGGCACAAAGAGGAATGTTCAGAAACTATAATGCCTTGCAGAGTGAACTACTTTTGATTTAAAGGGGGGGGGTGTTGTTTGGCTTGGGGGGTTGTTTTGTTTTTTTCGAGACAAGGTTTCTCTGTGGCTTTGGAGGCTTTCCTGGAACTCACTCTTGTAGACCAGGCAGGTCTCAAAATCATAGAGATCCATCTGCCTCTGCCACCCGAGTGCTGGGACTAAAGGCGAGCACCATGTTTGGTTCTTAATCCTGACTGCATCCTTGAGTCAACAGAAGCTGAGTAGCTACTATGTCTCATAGGATGCTTGGAACCTAGGATACAGCCAAGAATGTGGCAAAGGGAAAATGAAAACACTGTCCTGTAGAAGGGCAGTGTCTGGAGGAAGTCAATTGGCAACTAAGTATTGAGAAAGAGGGTTTAAAAGTTCAGACAGGGTGGTGCATGCCTTTAATACCAGCAGAGGCAGGTGGATCTCTGTGAGTGTGAAGTCCTCTTGGTTTACACAGTGAGTTCCAGGACAGCCAAGGCTACACATGAGACCCTGTCTCACAAAAAAATATAGATAAATAAATAAATCAGAGGGAGTAGAAAGCAGGGTGGGTGTGTTGGTGCTCATCCGCAGTGCACACAGGAAGAAGAGAGTGTGAGGCCAGCCTAGGCCACATATTAAGACCCTGGGACAGACAGATATCCATCAAAGCAAAAGACAGACAAACAGCCAGTGCAGTGCACTGAGGCCAGAACATGGTTCATATACCTGAAGATGAGGAACAGCCAGGTGTGGCTGCTGAGCAACCTGGAGACAAAGCACTAAGAGATGGGCATGTGGAGACGAGAGGTTTTGAGTCACACAGATGCTCCCAGACGGCCACCACCATCAAGCTCCTCCTCAGTTGAACTTGAACTTGAACACCATCAAGTTCCTATGCACTTATCTTTTTGTTTTTCTTACATTTGTAAAATTTTATAGTGTCAGGGTGTGGTGCATCTGCCGTGGCACACAGGTAGAGATCAGAGGAAATTTGTGATCATCAATTCTCCCCTTTTACCATGTGGGTCCCAGGGATCAAACCCTGGCAGACAGGCCTTGTGACAAGAACCTGTGCTCACTGAGCTGCCTCACTGACCCCTTCCTGTGGACTTTTAAGACACACCCATGGTTGAGCATAGCCCTCTGAGTACTTAGGAAAGGGAATGGTCCCCTGGGACTTGGCCCATGGCTGGCCTCGATCACTGATTGTGCCTATCCTCAGGAGTGCCACGGGAGAAGCATGGCACAACATCATGCTCTCCTGCCTCAGCGGGAAGCCGTGCGATAAGAACTCCGGGATCCTCACAGCAGACTGTGGCAATGAGTTCGCATACTTCTACTTCGTCTCTTTCATCTTCCTTTGCTCATTTCTGGTGAGTTTGCACACATGGAGGGCCATGTCCTTACCCCTGACACTGACTGGGGTAAATGGATCTCTGTAGACCGCCTGGAGTGGAAAACTTGCTCCCTCCCTGCTCCTGACAAATCCTCTCCCACATGTTGACATCTGGACGGGTGGCTATGGGTCTAAGCATTGTAGGATGCTAAGGAATACCGTGGCTTCCCTACTCTGAGCCACTAGCAGACACTCCCTCCTGCAGAGTTCCAGGGCCTCCCCAGTTCAAACTGGACCCCAGTGAGAGTCTAAATTTAGCTCTTGTGGGTGGATTTGGGCCACAGCAGGCTCTGGCTTTGGCTCCAGGCTCACACAGAGACCCCATCTCTGACTGTACCATCTCCCTCAGGCTTTGCCTCTGTGTGTGTCTATCCATCTCTCTCCCCTTTGCCATTGGCCTCCACTCTCATTGCCTCTTGAGTGTGTGAGCCATTTGTGTTTGCACCCTTTCCCCATCTGGCCTGCTTCTCTTTCCCTTGGGTCTCTGTGTTCCTTGCCCCTTCTACAGTCTCCTCTCTACTCCTGTTACTCCCCTTGGCCCCCAGATGCTGAATCTCTTTGTTGCTGTCATAATGGACAACTTTGAGTACCTCACCCGAGACTCCTCCATCCTGGGCCCCCACCACCTGGATGAGTACGTGCGTGTCTGGGCCGAGTATGACCCTGCTGCCTGGTAAGGAGGCATCTCAAACCTTCTGACTGTGTTGTCCACCTCCTCCTAAAACTGGGACAGGAGCTAAGTCAGGTCTCAGGTGTGGGACACTGGGTCCTAGGGTTTTAGCAGGAACTTCACGAGGGAGTCTAGGGTGGGAATCATGACTTTCACACTTTCAGGTTGAACACATGTCACCCCTTGTCCAAGCCCCAGCCTTTCTAGATGAAAGTGCTCAACTATGGGATTTTTCAAGGTTCCCTGGCCCCACAAGTCTTCTGGTCTCTTCTGGTGAGCTCTCCAGGTGGTAACATACATTAAAAACCTCTGGCCTCCATTCACCTGGGAGTGTAAAGGCAGCCCTGGCCCACCTTGGCACAAGTCCCAGGGTCAGAGTGGCATAATTCAGTTCAAAATTTAGAGTAGGGTGAACACTGTGGTACACATGGGTAATTCCAACACTCAAAAGACTGAGGCAGGAGAGTCAGGAGTGCAGGGCCAGCCTGGGCTACAAGTTTGTTGTTTCAAAAACAATCAAAATAAACAGGCAGGGTGGCACACACCTTTAACCCAAGAAAAAAGGAGGCAAAGGCAGATGGACCTCAAGGCCAGCCTGGTCTACAGAGAGAGTCTCAAGACAGCCAGGGCTACACAGAAACCCTGTTTCAAAAACCAACACGAACAAGCAAAACCCAAATAATAATAATAATAATAATAATGCGCCAGCCAGCTGGTGGTGGCGCACGCCTTTAATCCCAGCACTCGGGAGGCAGAGGCAGGCAGATCTCTGTGAGTTCGAGATCAACCTGGTCTACAAGAGCAAGTTCCAGGACAGCCTCCAAAGCCACAGAGAAACCCTGTCTCAAAAAACAAATAATAATGATAATAATAATAATAATGCTTTCGAAAGAGCAGAAGAGCCAGGCTGGTGGTCCACACTCACATCCCCAGCTTCCCAGCTTTTAGGAGACTGAAGGCAGGAGGATCAGGGGTTCCAGGTCCATTACCCTACTTCAAAATAAAATTTTAGGGCCAACAAGATGGCTCAGTGTGTAAAGGCACCTGCTGCCTAGTCTGACTACCTAAGTTCAATTCCCAGGACCCACCCATATGGTGAGAAGCAACTCCTACACGTTGTACTCACACATATGTACACACATGCGTGCACACGCACACATACACATACACACACAGGGCTACAGAGATGCTCAGTGGTTAAGATCATGAGCTGTTTTCGCTAAGGACCCTGGTCAATATAGTGAGTTTCAAGACAAGCCAAATGGTGAGAAAAAAAGCCAGAAGGTAAATAAACCTTTTTAAAAATAAAAATTTAAAAATAGGGCTGTAGAGATGGATTCATGGTCAAGAACATTAGCTGCCCTTGCAGAGGACCTAGGTTCAGTTCCTAGAACCCACATGGTGGTTCACAACTGCCTGTAACTCCAGCTACAGGGGAGTTTATGCCCTCTTCTAGCCTCTGTGAGCACTCACATACAGGTACATAAGTATTTTTTTTTTTTTTTTTTTTTTTGGTTTTTCGAGACATGGTTTCTCTGTGGCTTTGGAGGCTGTCCTGGAACTAGCTTTGTAGACCAGGCTGGTCTCGAACTCACAGAGATCCACCTGCCTCTGCCTCCCGAGTGCTGGGATTAAAGGCGTGCACCACCAACACCTGGCTAATAAATATTTTTATTAAAATAAAAACTGTCAAGGTCTAATAATGTGACTGGGTGGTGGACTCTTGCCTAGCATATTTGAGGCCCTTAGTTCCATTTCCCGAACCTTGAAAAATAAATAAAAAATTTAGAGTAGATCACACAGGAAAGGCGGGCGGGGGGCGGGGGGGCTTGCATCCTCTTGATGATAGCAAGGTAGAGTTCCCTGTCTCACAGTGAGCACCAGCACACCTCTGCTGACAAATAGGACATCACACAGCATCTTAGACTACGTGGGGTGTACCGAGGCACCTCAGAGGCAGGAGGACACTGAATCTAGTTCATTCTAGGCACAGGATTGAAGGAGAACTACTGGGGGGCCCTGAATTGTCTGTGCTCTGCTTCATCTGGCCTCAGCCCTGGAGGATAGATTCACAAGGAAATGCAGAGAGCTGCCTGTCTCTCCCATTGCTGCAGCCCCAGACAAGCCCTCCTTGAATGAGAGAGGCTGGGGCAAGGCATGTGGCTGAGACTGGTTCAAGGGCCCTTTTTAACTCTTCCTTTTTGATTTTAGGTTGCTGCACTAGGATGCTGTCCCCTCCAGTAGGCTATACACCCACCCACACCAGTGTAGCCCATGTAGATGGCAAAGGAAACAGATGTAGAGGATTCTCTGGGGGGGGGGAGCACAGCCTAGAACCTCAAGCACACCCCATCAAAGTATCTCCCTGAGGGCGGGGGTGCACACATGTCTTTACATGCATCACACCATTTCCTGGTCCCAGGTTACCACTCCTTCAAGTCAGGAGGCCTGAGCCTCATCATCTGGCCCCCCTATGTGCTTGGGGAACCCTTTTCACGGTGGCCAACCCCAGACTCCACTAACCCTCTCTTCTCCTTTCAGCGGCCGCATTCACTATAAGGACATGTACAGTTTATTGCGAGTAATATCGCCCCCTCTCGGCTTAGGCAAGAAATGTCCTCATAGGGTTGCTTGCAAGGTTTGACTTCCACTAAAACCTGCTAGCATCGATTGAATGAGTGTGGCTTGGGGTCTTCCATATATATATTTTATATATATATATATTTCTCAAAAACAGAGCCATCTCTCTCTCTCTTGCATTACACTAGCAAACTCTAAGCCTCCAGAATGCGGCCATGCAGACCCCACGAAGCATGGGACATACCTCTGTTCCCTCCGAACATCTGTGCTTGCTCTTAGCTGAAGCTGCCCATCCCGTGGTCTCAATGACACCCCAAAATCAGATGCATCCCTTGGGGGAGTTGTAATTTTGCATTTCCCTATTCCCACTCTCTCCTCCACCACTCCCTGCCTCCTGAAGCCTCCAGCCCCCCTTCCCATCCCCATGCCCTGTCCAGCTCCTCTTCCTCACCCAGGCCCCCTCAGAGACCAGCCTCAGCCAAGCCAGAGTATTCGACCCCTCGAACGGTAAAGCCCTCCAGCTCCGCACCACCTGAGCCACAGCCTGGAGCCCAAGTGGAATCTGACTGTTTCTCTTTTCTCTCTCTCTCTGCCTGCTTGTAAGCAGTGAAATAATCATTTTTAATTACCTTTTCTTCCATTTTTTCTCCTCTTTTCCATTTATTTGAAACATCTATTTTATCGTTCTCTGCCTCTTTCTCTATTTTTTCGGCTCGTGTGGTTTTTTTGTTTTTTGGTTTTTTTTTTCTTTTTTTCTTTTTCTGTTTCTTCTCCACCTCTACCCCTACCCTTTTGGTTCTCTGCCCCACCCACCCCCTCCTGTTTTTTGTTTTTGGTGCTGCCAGGGGTCGCATGCCTTACCCGGACATGTATCAGATGCTGAGACACATGTCCCCACCCCTGGGTCTGGGGAAGAAGTGCCCGGCCAGAGTGGCTTACAAGGTAGTCTATCTTTGCCAACACCAATGTCCCAGAGCTGGGGACTTTTCCGTGGTGACCACAACACCCAGCGAGTCTTCTGCGACATCTCTTCTTTTTTCTTTTTTCTTTTCTCGAGTAACTGAGTCGTGAGCGTCCCTTGACTCTCAGCAGCGCACTGTGTCCTTTCTGATGAGTGTCTAAGTGTTCTGAGACTCCATTATGGCCAGCAAGCCACGGGGAGGGGGAGGGAGCGCTCCAGTCCCCAGCACCCAAATGACCCCCCTGGGGAGCCAAATTGTATGTCTCTGCCCATCCAGAAACACATACCCCCAGGCCCAGGCCACACTGTTTTGTGCCTTGAGCCCTTAAACCCTGGCCTCCCCGCCACACACACATCTGAAGCTGACCTCTGACTTAGGGCCCTGGAGATCTGACACCTCCCACAGCTGAGTCCCCTCTCCCATCCTCCCCTTGCCCTGGAGATGTCTCCCCAGTGCCTGAACCATACCACCCATCTATCCAAGACGCCCCAACGTGCCTCTCCACTCCATCGTTTCAGAGCAAGCAGGAGGGCTGCCGCTGCCCCCACCCCGAACGTGGTGCACCCATCAGACCTTGCACGCTGCCTTGGAGGGGTCTGGGGGTGGGGGGTGTATGCCAGCTGAGGGAGTGAGGAGACTGCTGCTCCTCTAAACTTCTGTCCTGGAATCTCCCCCGGCCCTGGAGGACATCTGCTCCCTCAGTTCATCCTCAAGGTGGCCAGGGATGACCTTCAAACCCCATGTCCCAAGAGTGACTCCCAGTGTCCAGCTTTCCATCCCTCTGCTTTTACAACTATCACAAGCCCAGTGTGGCTGCTTCCCTGTCCCTCTCAGATTTAAGTCTCTTCCCACAAGTGTCCTCCTTCTCCCTCCCCAGCCTGATGTCTGTATAAAGCCACCATGGCTCCCTTCAGCACCATTGTGCACATTTAAAATGGCATGTTTTCCACAGAACACTTTGTCTGCTGGGAAACTGTTATACTTTCTCACTATGCAAGCAAAAGTTGTGGTCATATTTAACACTGTACAGTGCACACCTGCCCAGCTGTACACAGTGCCCTCATCTGTGTTTCTCTACTGCCTCCCTCCCTGCCCCAACCCCAGCATCCCACTTCCTACCTTATTGGTTTACTGTCTCCCTGCTGTCTCTGAATCCCCTGGTGAAACCCAGATTTGCCCTTAACACCCTTTCAAGCCCATCAAAGCCCAACGTTCCCCGGCCCAAGCCACAGAGCAGGCAGAACCCCTGCCTGGGACACAGAATTCCTTCCCTGGGCCTCAGGAATGCCCTTGCCCCTTCTCCCTGCTACTGCACAGACAGCCATGATCCGGCGAGCCCCAACAGTCACTTCCCACGGAGCTATGAATGAGTCTCGAGATTCCGTCTGCATGTGCCCGTTTGTACCGCTCTGTGTAGGCCTCGCTGCATGTCCACAAGGGGCCTGCGTGGGAAGGTGCCTGCCGCTTCTGAGGATGGAATGCTGCGGCTGGGTGACCATCATCTGCCCATTCAGGGCCGAGCAGGGGGTGGGGGGCGGGAGCGGCGGCTGTGGCCGTGGACCCCACCGCGAGGCTGCTGCACGCACACATCTGCCTTCTGCTCTTTCTTTGGGTGGAAGTGAAAGGGAGCCCTTGAGAAGAACTCTGGTGCAGGGCTTGAATCTGGGTACTCTAGACCCCTAGGCCTCAGTACCAAAGGTGGGATTTAAAACAGAAAAACAGCAGGCCCTGGCATCCCAGATGCTCGGGAAGCCAAGGCCGAAGGGTTGCTATCAGTTCCAAGGACAGCCTGTCTTCAAAAAAAGAAAGGCGGGGCGGGGTGGGGGTGGGGGTAGGTGGATTCCATGGTGGGGAAAGCCCTAGATTCTTTAGTTGCTCCATGGTGGGGAGAGATAGGGGGGTATGAAAAATTGTGTCCTGGCACCGCTGACCACAAGGGGTATTGCCTCAGCTTCAGAGTTCGTCTTAGGGCTCCCTGGGTTGGGTGAATTTGGCTTGCAAGATGCTGTGGGGCCCGAGAATGACTGCCCTCACCTGGGGTTTTCTGTAGAGACTCTTAAGGATGGATCTGCCTGTGGCGGATGACAACACAGTTCACTTCAACTCCACCCTCATGGCTTTGATCCGAACAGCCCTGGATATCAAGATTGCTAAGGGTAAGGAAAGCTGTAGACTGAGGGGAGGGGTAGATTGGGCCTTGGACTGAAAGCTGGGTCAGTCAGTGACGCCCTCTGCTGGTGGTGGTCAGAGGGGCCACTGTCCTTGTTTGCATTCATGCATCTGTGTAAACATTTACCCTCCAACCAAAAGGATGTGTGTCCTTCCTTACAAAGGACACACGCGCACGCGCGCACGCGCGCACACGCGCACACACACACACGCACGCACGCACGCGCACACACACATCCCAGTCTTTGGAGTAGGTAGCACAATGAGTTGTGTGGACTCATAGGGGAAAGGAACCCTGGGCTGAGAAGGAGGAAGAAGTGCAGCGAGGAGTAGGAACCACACAGTGAAGGTCGTGCTGAGCTGACCTGGCCTTTGAGTGAGGAGATTCCCGCAGGGTCCAGAGAGAAGAGGGCACGTGGAAATGATGTCTCCAGTCTACAGAGACAGCCCAGTGGGAAGAGGTAGATTAAAGGCCTGTGTTAATCTGACTTTCCTTATTAAGGGCCTGTGTTAATCTGACTTTACTTACTGTCATGAACTAGCTGGGGCTCACAAAGAGGCAGGCTAGCCAGATGGCTCCAAAGTAAAGGCACTTGCCGCCAAGCCTGACTGACCTGAATTCAGTTGCTAAATTCTGCTCTCCCTTCCATAAGTGCGTAATGCCCCCCACACACACACCACACTTGAATAAAAATCATTTTAAGAAATCTCCCAGGGTTCTGATGGCTCTCAAGAAACCCCATCGTAGTTTTCAGCGCAGAGAGCTGGGGTAACACCAGAGCTCTGCAACCTTTTCCTTTGAAACAGAATCTTGTTTATTTGGAGATTCCAAAAAAGAGTAAAGACAGGCGGAGGAGACAGTGTGGACAGCTGAGAAAAGCTAGAGAGTCCTCAGCTCACTGACAACCTCTATCTTTTTTTGTTTATTTCTTATTTTCTGACATCTCTCCCTCTCTTTTTTATTCATTTATTTTACTTTTTTTTTTTTTATTTTTCGAGACAGGGTTTCTCCGTGGCTTTGGAGCCTGTCCTGGAACTCACTCTGCAGAACAGGCTGGCCTCGAACTCACAGAGATCTGCCTGTGTCTGCCTCCCAAGTGCTGGGACTGACCCTTGGTTCCCTGTCTTTTTTTTTTTTAATGTAACAATTTCATCATTTATTCTGTTTGATGCTCTTAATCGCCAGCTGAGCAGGCTGCCCAGCTCTCATCTCAGTTCTGTTGGGGGTACTTTCATTTTAGTGCTGACAAAAAAATTTTAGTGATACAAACCAAACGAGGTGGTGGCAGCACACACCTGTAATCCAGCAGGCAGATATCTGAGTTCAAGGCCAGACTGGACTACAGAGTTCCAGGACAGTCATAACTACACAGAGAAACCCTCCTGTCTCAAAAAAAAAAAAAAATTAGGATTACAAAGCTCCCATTTTCCCAAAACTTGCTAGAGCTGAATTAGCAAAATTAATAAAACCAGCTAGGGTGCCAAGTGATCCTTTGTTTCCAAATAGTTTCTTCCCCTTTGAATTTAGGTTTCACATTTTAGTGTCTGTTTATTTGGTTTTAAGACTGGGATTCACATAGTCCAAGATTACCTCGAGCTTACTCAGTAGCTGAGGATGACCTTGACCGTCTGGTCCCCCTGCCTCCACTTTCCACATGTCCTGATCACAGGTGTGCACCACCACACCTGGTTTATGAAGTCCTGGAGACAAACGGACCCCATGGCTCATGGTCAGCAAGTAAGTGTGCTTAATCACTGAGCCATCTCTCCACTTTTTGTTTCTTCTCAAAATTTCCAACATTTTATAGTAGCTGGTAGAGTTTTTCTTTTTCTTTTTTTTTCTTTTCATTGTTTTTTTCTTTGTTTTGTTTTTCAGGACAGGTTTTCTCTGTGTAGCCTTGACTGTCCCAGAACTCACTCTGGCTGGCCTTGAACCCACAGAGATCCTCCTGCCTCCCAGGTGCTAGGATTTCGTTTCTTTTTTCTTTTCTTTTCTTTTTTTTTTTTTTTTTTTTTTTTTTTTTTTTTTTTTTTTCTTTTTGGGAGGTTCTTACTCTTCAGCCCTAGATGGCCTGGAGCTTGCTATTGTATGCCAGGCTATCATTAAACTTATAGAGATCTGACTGTCTCTGCTTCCTGAGTGCTAGCATTAAAGACATGGCCACCATGTCCAACTGGATTTATTTTGAATCAGGTTTTATTGTGTTTGGTTGGTTGGTTGATTGGTTGTGACTGGGTCTGGCTATGTAGCTCTGGCTATCTTGGAACTCACTATGACGGTGGCCACAGTCTAGACTGACAGAGAGATCCACCTGCCTCAGCCTCTGAGTGCTGGGATTAAAGGTGTGGCCACCATGCCCTATTGAGAGTGGTGTCCTTTGATAGAAGTAGTGTCCTTTAGTAGTGTCTAAGGTTAGCTCTCCCACTGTGTCTTGGGTTTGCCCTGCATGCTGACAGGAGTATGAAGGACAACACTGGGTGATCACCTCGGAGGTGTATTCACAAGCAACACTGTAAGATTCCTTCCGAGCCAGGAGGGCATGTGTTATCTTGGGCTCTCCCATGAGGTCACTGCCTGCTGTGGGAAGTTCCACCACACTTCCAGCAGGACTTGTGGGACTTATGGCTCTTCTCTGGCATTGGCACAATCAGGCTCAGATGCTGTCTGAACTGAAAGAGGCCATGAGAAAAGGGGAAGGAACCAGCAAATCTTCCCTTGTGATGCAGACACTCGGGAAGCTACTTGGACACAGTGGGCAGTGGGCTTGTTGCTGTGGAAATGACCTAGCAGAAGGAACATGGGAGAGAGGCTTTAACTTTAGTTCATAGTTTTAGAGGGCAGGAAGACACAGCCACAGGAGCAGGAGACTGACTGACCACATGCATCCACACCCAGGAAGCTGAGGAATACAGGAAATGGGACCCACCCCCAGCCGCCCCCCTTCCCAAACAACACCACTAGGCTGGTGACAAAGTGTTCAAACATATGGGGGATGTTTCATATCCACAGCTGAGAACATTCAACAACCCGGTCATGACAGGATGGGTGGTGGCACACACCTTTATTTATTTTATTTTTCTAAAGATTTATTTATTATGTATACCGTGTTCTGTCTGCATTCATACCTGCAGGCCAGAAAAGGGCACCAGATCTCATTGTAGATGGTTGTGCTGGGAACTGAACTCAGGACCTCTGGAAGACCAGCTAGTGTTCTTAATTGCTGAGCCATCTCTCCATCCTGGCACACACCTTTAATACCAGCACTTGGAGGTAAAGGCCTGAGTTCAAGGCCTGCCTGATCTACAAACTAGTTCCAGGACAGCCATGGCTACACAAAGAAACCCTTTCTCAGAAAATACCAATGAACCAGGCTGGGGGAGAGATGGCCCAGCCTTTTAGAGCCCTGACTCTTAGAGGCTGGTTTCAGTTCCCAGCACTCACACAGTGACTCACAGTTATCTATAACCCGTCTCAGGGAATTCAATGCCCTCTTCTGGCCTCTGTGTGCACCGTCCACAGGAAGTGCACAGACATACATGGAAGCAAAATATCCATATACACAAAATAAAATTTAAAACAAACAAGAAAGAATAAATGACAAAGGACATCAGGTAAAATACAGAGGTGAGTGACAAGTGGCCACAAAAGGGACTAAAGACAGCCCTAGACAATTTTGGCTTTTGATCTGCAGCATTCCAACTCTCCACAATCTTGGGAGTATGTAAATCTTCAGCACAAGTGAGGCATTTCCATTCACAGGGGACACACTGCATCCCAGTTCACACCATAGCAGGTTTACACGACCCAAGTAAAGACAGGCTAGCAGCTTGGATTGAGGGGCATGGAACATTCACTCTGAGTGCCTGAGAACTGAGCTGACAGGATGCCTCCCATATGGATGTGTGTTGTGATGTGAGGGAGAGAGGATCCAGAGATACCCTCAGACTTGAGGCCTGAGCAGCTAAAGTATGGAACAGTTGCCACAGACAAGAGACAGGAAGGGCAGGTTGAGACCAAGGGCAGGAGGCCAGTAAGGGGCACAGCAAGAAAGCAGGCACTGGAGAGGGCACTTAAGACTTTCTGAGGCAATGAATGGGAACCCAGAGGCCTCAAGCCTGTTATCCTCCTTGGCATTCCGAGGCAGGAGAATCACAGGAGATCTAGTCTAGGCTACAGAATAGCCTTGGCCAATTTGGTCAGTTGAGTGAGACTCTGAAAATAAGAGAACTGGGTAGAGTTCAGTGATAGAGAAGTCCCAGTATGTTCAAAACCCTGAGTTCCTTCCCTAGAGAATGACAAAAATTAATAAATTCCCCTGGACACCAAGCCCAAGGTTCCTTCCATCACTGCAAGAGACTAAGAAAAGGTGGCTAAGGAAAAAAACAGAGACTCAAACAAAATAGCCAAGTGGTGGTGCATGCTTTTAATCCCAGCACTCAGGAGGCAGAGATAGGTGGATATGTGAGTTTAAGGACAGCCTGGTCTACAGAGCTAGTTCCAGGACAGTCAGAGATACACAGAGAAACCCTGTCTTGAAGGAAGTCAGGGGATTGTGTTACCTTTGATTAATAGCAAAATCTGTGTACAATAAGACAGAATAAGGAATCCAGGCCCTGTCACCAGCTGCTCCACTGCTCCCACTGGGGGTCCAGCTCTCCACTGCCACTGCTGCTTCCTCATTCCCAAGAGAAGAGGGAACCTAAACCAAGCCCACCAATGGTGATTGCTCCCATGCCTTTCTGCCAGTCCATCCACCTTTCAAGAGAGCATGCAACCTGTGGCCTTGCCTTTTATTCAGGTCACATACTCTTCAACACAACTCCACCCTTTGGGCTAAACCACTCCTTAAAATTGGCTGGCAGAGCAGTGACAGAATTCCCATAATATGTCCCTCTTTTTGTCTAATTAAGAAAGTGCTAATCCTCACATAATAAAACTATGTAAAATAAGAACTATTATCAAGTATTGTCCAGAAGAAAGAAAAAG